TCAGAAATCCAAGAGAATCTGTCAAAAACCTGCCTTCACTGATAAAGGATTTTGGGAAAGTCTCAGGGTACAAAATAAATGTGCAAAAGGAGTCGCATTCTTATATACCAACAACAAACCATCAGAGAACCAAATAAAGAGCACAATCCCATTCACAATAGCCTCAACAACAACAATAAAAAGAAATATCTTGGCAGAAAGAAGTGAAAGATCTTTACAATGAAAACTACAAAATACTGCTCAAAGAAATCCAAGAAGACACAAACAAATGGAAAAATATTCCATTCTCATGAACAGGAAGAATCAACATTGTTAAGCTGTTCATAAAGGCAATCTACAGATTCACACAGTACCCATTAAATTACCAACATTATTCTTCTCAGACTTGGAAATGACAATACAGAAATTCATATGGCAACATAAATGGCCACAAATAGCTAAAATAGTCCTTAGCAAAAGAAACAAAGCAGGAGGTATCACACATCCAGACTTTAAGCTTTAATATTAGGCTACAATAATCAAAACACCCTGGTATTGATACAAGAACAGGCATATGGACCAATCGATCAGGATAGAGATTCCTCAATTCCTCAACCAACTCATCTTTGACAAAGCCTCCACCGACAACCAATGTGGGGAGGAGAACCTATTTAGAAAATGGTGCTGGGAAAACTGGTGGACCACATCTAGAAGATTGAATAGGATCCCTACCTATTACCATAAACAAAAATCAACTCCAAATGGATCAAAGACCTAAATATAAATTCTCAAATTATAGGACTCTTAGAAAATGCAGAAGACACCCTTATAGAAATCAGAGTAGGCAACCAAATCTTGATCAAAATCCCAAAGCCCATGCTATAAGAGATAAGATAGACAAGTGGGATATCATTAAGTTGAAAAGCTTCTGTAAAGCAAAAAAATCCATCAAGGGAGTGAGGAGACAGCTCACAGAATGGGAAAAAATATTTCCCAACTATATACCTGACAAAGGCCTAGCATCCAGAATCTATAAGAAACTCAAATGTGCTGAAAGGAAAAAAGCAAACAGCCTCATTAAAAAGTGGTCAAAAGTCATAAATAGACATTTCTCAACAGTGGGCAGCCAACAGATATATGAAAAAGTGCTCAGCCACACTAATCATCAGAGAAATGCAAATCAAAACCACATCGAGATACCACCTAACCCCAGTAAGAATGGCCATCATTAATAAAACAAACAACAGCAGATGCTGGCGAGGATGTGAGAAAAGGGAACCCTTCTACACTGCTGGTGGGAATGCAAACTACTTCAACCTCTATAGAACACAGTGAGGCAATTTCTAAAAGAACTTGAAATTGACCTTCCATATGACCCAGCAATTCCCCTACTGGGAATATACCCAGAGAAACTCTAATCATTCTACTAAAAAAGATACCTGCAGCACATGTTTATTGTAGCACTATTCACAAAAGCAAATCAATAAGTCCATCGAAACTGGACTGGATAAAAAAAAAAATGTGGTACATATACATGATGGAATATACACATTCATAAAGACAGACAAATATATGAACTTTGCAGCAGCTTGGATGGATTTAGAGTTTATGATGCTCAGTGCCCTATCACAGAAACAAAGAACTGAATACCACATGTTCCCACTCATATGCGGACCCTGAACATTTACCACAATACTATAAGAAAGGGAATGGCAGTATAGGGATACTGTGGGGCAGGGGGATACGACATCAGTAAGGGTAACTGATCTCAAACCAGGTGAAGTGGGGCCAAAGGAAGGCCCAAACTTTACCTATACAATGACCACTTGTATACCTAATCCTGAATTGTACCCCACATATTTAAAATTTTTAAAAGGGGAAAGAAAAAAAGTAGCTTAAATAGGATGACACGTGGAAAGGCCTATGTTTTGATCACATAATGAATGTAAAGAAACTAACTTAACCCTTCATAAACTTCCTTATTTTTAACTTTAAAAGCCCTCAAATTTACATGTTGTAAGAGGAAATGCAGAATGATATTATTAACACCTATCAGATAATGGAGAATTAATATTAATATTACAGCAAGTAGAATTTAAAGGTGAAAATTTTTAAAGGTGAAAAAGACCAACATATAGCCAATAATGAAGAGACACACCAATACACATATAACATATAAACTAAATAACATAACAATAATGAATATCACTATAGGAACAGGGCAGAAAAGGGAAATTTTAAATCATTCTCATTAGAATTTGACATATTAGACAAAATGCAAATAAGAATATGGAGAAAATGAACAACATCATCAATAAACATATATCAAATTCTTTTCACATAGTGCAGTATAAAGTATACTATAAATGACCAATAAGTCCCAAAGAAAAATAATTCAGAAGAGTTAGAAATGAAGCTAGAAATTACTAGTAAAGTTAAATCAAAAACCACAGGTTGACACTCTGTCAAATAACAACTATGGGCCATCTTTCTTTCACCCATTATGTCTAGTACACAATTAAGCCTCTTTGATGGATAGGTTAGAACATAAACTCACACCAAACATTCCCCAGGAATGACTTTACAGAGGACTTGGATAGTCAGGCAATGCACACTGCCCCCCAACTCTCTAGCTCTCTCATCTCATAATCTCCTCCCTTATTTGCTGCTCACTTCTTGAAGTTCCAAATCCTTCCTCTTTTTTAGGCAGAGGAACTTCTTCTCTTTTCCTTGGTGGATTCCCAGACCTTGTGAGGGCTCAGATGTTAATCTAACCACTTAACATATTTTCCCAATAAAGTCATCTTTCAACATCAGCATCATTCTGGTGCCAGCCATAAGGTAGAAATACTTTTGCTATCTTATCACCAACATGGAAGGAAGACATTGAAAGAAACCAAAGAGAATTTAAACTGTTGACTACAACTCTGTTCCCTACATATTAATGGATTTGAAACAGTACACTCAAGTCACTTGGACTTCTGGATCTTGGTGCTTGCTGTCATGTAATCAATCAGATCAGTTTAGTGGAAAGAAAGTCTTGTTTAGTGGTAGTGAACACCATAGGTTTTATAGTTACATTAGTTGGTTTTGATAATAACTGTGTGACATTACACAAATTACCCAATCTATCCATATCTTATTTTCCTTGCCTCATGTAAAAAGGGAATAAATATATAATTTATAAGGATTATAATTAAATGTTAGGCCCATACACAGATCCTTGATTACAGTCTCCTTTTTCATGCAAACTGGACCTCATATGAACTTTTGTGAGAAATACAAGTTCTCTAGCACTAAGACACTCAATCAGAATCTGCCTTGTTAGTAAGTTTCCCAGGTAATTCTAATGCTCGTTACAATTTGGGAAGAATTGATCTTTCAATAACAGATGTGAAATGACAATAATTTTTCAAAAAATTGTCCGTTGATTTTTCCATGTATTTATATTTTATATGATTTTTTTTCATTTTAAAGTTATCAATCCCTGCTTTTTTATAAAGTAGGCAAACTTGGGAGTTTTTATTCCCTCATGGCCTTTAGATACTTCCCTTCATGCTGAAAATAATAATAATATTAAAAGAAATGTTAGGAACCAGCTTATTTTCATCAGGGCCTTTGCATAGTACTAGTCATCTCTTCAAGAAATCTTCAAGTTTGGGGAAATGTGCCCATTGCCAAAAACCAGGAGATGGGGACAAAAGTTAACACTGAAATTCGTAAAAAGAAATTATATCATTTGCTTGCACTTCACTGGGCTTTTCTAGAACATTGTTCTAGAGCTCTAAAACTATGCGTTAATACATTAACTTGTAACATTGTGAAAATCAAATAAAACATAATGTAAAAAAGTTTTTAGTGCAATGCCTTGCTCAAGAAATATTAGTGGTTTTCTCTTCCTGCTTACTTCATTACAATTATTTTTAAAATGCCTATATTCCATACTAGGATATGAACATCATGACAGAGCTTATATCATTGATATGTGTATATCATAAATAAATTCAGTGCCTGCTACATAATCTAATGTTAAATAGATAATTTCTATCTTTTGCTATTTTTGGTATACCTACTTAAACCAGGATCAATGATTGAAAGAGTCATTAATGTAATTATTCAATAAATATTATTGTGCAGCTATTATGTGTCAGGAACTATGATAGACACTGGAGACTGAAATTATAGTGAGCAAAAAGGAGGCACTGTTTGTGCTTTTAGTTTAAGAAGGGAGATAGATATTATCTCATAAAATATTGTAAACTTGAATTGTCACCAGTGCTGTAAGAGAGGGACACGGTGAAATAATGTAGTAGGTGAGATAAAAATTAGACTAAGAACAGCTCAGCAAAATTCCATCTTATTGACATATTTTCCATTGGTCTGCCATATCACTATATTCTGTTATAGCCTAAGTCACTTGTGTGGCAGTTTCTCTTACGTTGGAAAAACTCCTAGGGCAATTCTTCCAGAAGGCAATTGTTAAAAAGTTCCTCTTCCAAGGCAAGAAGATTGGGTGTAGGGAGATGGAGAAGGCTGCTAGCGTTTTCTTTAGCCCTTTTCTATTTAACTATCTTGTCAGAATGATTTACTTCATTTTAATAATACAAATGAGTCATAGAACAATTGAGTTCAATGACACTTGTAAAATAATGGAGGTTCAAATTCCTGGGGGAACACAATGAGTTCATTGAGCTAGGAAGGCTGGGATCCCAGTCAGGATCATGGGTTTCATCAAATTGTGGAGTGATGATGGCAAAGAAAAAAAACTCACTTTTCAATGTTATCTGTGATGGGCTTTTTCTTACATCATCTCACGCTGAGTATCTATGGCCCCCCTCTATTTATAATCTCCTTAAATGGTAACACTACTTTTAAATATCTGATTGTGTTTGCAGCCATTAGTGGGAGAATTGGGTGCTACCTACCGAAGTAGGGAATTTGTTAACTGAACACTTCCGCAGAGGAACAACTGACCAAAGTCAAACCAGCCCTTTTACGCGATCCTTCTCTTCATAACTTACCTGTTCCTAGAGTAGTACTCACTTCCTACAGTCGAGGACCGAGCTTGCAGCCCGGCTAACGTGGCCATGGCCTCTTGGCCTAGGGTTTACAACTGGTGTTACTACCGGTCTCCATGGCAACTGGGCTAAACCATGAGCCATTCCAGGGGAGGGGGATCCAACTTTTCCTTTACGCCTCTTTTCTTCCACCCTGTTTCGTTTTAAGAAGATTAAAAAGGAGAAATGAGAAACATTTGTGTAGCAAAAAGTTTAATGTATTGCCTCTAGCTCTTCTGTGAGTAAAGAGAGGCGATTATAGGAAAGGAAAGCAGTAGGGGAGGAGAACTAATGGTTGCTCCAGGCATCCGGTTTCCGCCTCCAGGCCGCTTCCGGAAGCTCATCTCAAAATGCTGAACTGCTCTTTGCAAGTCGTCGGTGCTGTAGTAGTTGGAGTCCGTACACGGGCCTGAGCCTCAAGGCCAGGCTCCTGGGTGTCGTTAATGTTCGGGGCCGCCGGGCGCCAACCGATCGGAGCTCCAGCAACCGGGAATAGCTGGTGAGGCTGGCGGCCCTGGGGAGGGAGTTCGGGAAACGGTGTGGTAGTCGGAGGCCGCTTTCCTGGACCTGGAATGGAAGCTAGAGGGAGTTGTGATGGGTGATTCGAAGATTTCTAGGCCTTGCTGTCACTTATGCCTGGGATGGATGCGATTTGAGGGAGCCGTTGGGGGTGTGCTAAAGATTTTTGAAGAAATACAGTAAATGTTTGCTGATTGCTTGTCCAGCAGGGTATTTTAAGAGTCAAGCTTTCTGTACACCAGGAGCAATTTATCTCCCCCTGATTGTTGACAGGACTAGGGACTGGAAGAATTTCTCTTAATGCAGGCCTTATTCCCCACTCCCTCTTTAAAAATTTAGCAGATTATACCATGTGTCTTGCGATATCAAAGCTTAGAAATCTAGAGTTCTGGAAGTTCAATAGTGGAAGAGAGATCACCCTCCCACTTCCTTTTGGAGGGCTGGAGTCACCTACCTGTTTCCAACCCCATGAACGTTCCATTCTAGTTCAAGTGGGATACGTATGGATGTTCACTAACAACTTGTAAACGCCAGGATTAAGTTTGGTGTCTGACTATGTCTGTAGCATATCACCAGTACCCTTTAGAATAGTATATTGCTTGGGCTTTTTAAAAATATTTCGCAAATTGGTAAACTTTATGACAGCCCTGTGATGCCAGAATATCACAGGCATAAAATACTTAAGTCACTTATCCAAACTTGCCTTGCACAGTTTAATCCTAGATTCAGAAGCTGTATTCTGGGTTTCTAGTTGAAAACTCTGCAATGTGTGTTTCCCGCCCCATAAACCCTTTTCCTCCAAACATACACGAGACAAGCAGTGAAACAAACAAGAAAATTTCTCCCAACAGTCCTTAAACATTAAGTCTTGACTAAGAGGTGAAAGGAATATGGCTAAACAGTGGATGTCCATTCCTAGAGTATGCAGAAAATAGAACATGGGGAACTCTAGTAGTCTGTGATCTCAAAGGACTTCTTTTACATCATATTTCACTGAAAAACTAAAAGAATATCTTACGTACAAATATTTTTAGTTGAGTCAGATCATTCTATAGGTAATTTTATATAGATTTGATTATGCTACTTTTAAATTGCCACATTTTCCAGTGAGAAAAGTAGGGAGGACTTTTTAATGAGGTATTTTTAATGGAATACTTAGCATAGACTAAAAAGCACAGTTCTTAAGTGTTTAATTTTATTAGTTTTGAGAATTGTATATACTTATGTAACTGCCACATAAAACAAGATAAAGAACATTTCCATCACCCCAGAGTGCCCTCTTGAGCATACCTTTTTTTAATGTTTCACCATTCATTATCTTGGTATGTGAGGGTGATACGTGAGGATGACAAAATATCCTGTGTAGATTGATCTGCTTTTCTTATAGTGATAATGATTTATAGGGAGGTGACTATTTGATTTAAAATATGACTCTCAACTTCTTCCTCTATTTTTCACCTTGTACTCAAATATGGTTAGGTGCCTCTTCATAATATAGAGAACTCCTTCAGTGCTCTTTTGAAGGTTTTATGCTGTTTTCACTTGTTGACATACAACTGGTCATTTCTTATTGCACCAGAGTATAACATGGTGCCTAGCACTTGGTGTTTTGAGTGAAATTTTTAAAATTATGCTTGATCATTTGTCAGAATAAATGCTTTCCAGAAAACTGGAACCTTTCTCTTCTTTTCTTTTTGAGACAGGTTCTTACACTTTTGCCCAGGCTCAAGTGCAGTGGCACAATCACAGCTCACTATAGTCTCAAATTCCTGGGCTCAAGCAATCCTCCTCATCAGCCTCCTGGGTAGTTAGGACCACAAGTGCAGGCTCAGTCTGGTCTAAAACTCCTGGCCTCAAGTACTCCTCTGGCCTTGGCCTCCCGGAGTGCTAGGATTATGTGTGTGAGCCAGCCTATTTTCTGGTTTATCTGCACAACAAATCCAGTCATTCAAAATTTCTTAATGGAATTTTCTTTTGTATTCATTGAACAAACATTTACTATACCATGCCTGTATATTTTATCCCAGTAATGAAATTCCAGTGCCACTGGGGATGCTACTACTGAGCACTTAACTTGGTGCCAGGTTCTACATTCACAATGTCATCTCATGTAAATCTTTTGAGGTAGGTGTATCATGCTCTGCATTTTGGATAAGTTGCATAGAGGCAAAGATAGTTTAAATAACTGACTTAAGTGTCATGTTTGCAGGTTGATTCCAGTATACCCAAAGATAATTCTAACTAACATTCTGCTTTTTGTGTCTGAATAAGAGACATTATCTCAAGGAATATGTAAACTAGAAAGTAAATGCCCAGATTTGTTAACCCACCTGGATTTCCTGATTTATTTAACTCTTGTCTTGAGTTTTTCTGCTTCTTCGATGTGGAGATTGGTTTTTTTCAGTTCTTAGGCACCAAATGAGTAAATGTAAATGATTTATTTATTGACTTGTGGTATTCTCTTTATTTTTGTTGTATGGTGTTGCTTTTTTTTTTTTAAGCCATTAAAATAATTCTGCAGTTTTGTTCCTATTTGGCATTTTGATTTTCTTTAAGTCTGGAAAGTACATAGTAAAAAATACACTTTTTTGTTTTGTTTTTGTCTTGATCTTAATTGCATACTGGCAGGCTTATTTGAATCTATATTTTATTTCAGCAATTAAGAATCAAAATAGTAACTAGTATGATTCTGTATGGTATAGCTTCTTAGCATCCATTTTTATGTCAAGCTGGAAAACTTTACATTATCTTTGCTAATTTGCCTTTAACTTCACATTTGCTTAGCTAAAAATTTAATGTCTGGCTTGTTAATGTGGCAGGAAATTTGAAACATGGATTGTCTCAAATTTTTAGTCATTATATGTTTATTTTGGTATTTGTTCATTCAGTTACTCATTCATTAGTTTGTTCATCCAACAGATTATTTTTAAAAAATCTTATATGTCAAGCAGCATGCTTGGCACTTGTAGCTAATAGTCCATTATCTTCATTCTCATTCCTGTTATTGGAATTCAGGATATTTATATATTCAGTTACTATTTATAGAGTTGTTACCATGCATAAGCAATAAATAAGACTAATTTCCTGCCTAATAAATGCTTGCCTAAGTGCTCTTGAATATATGCACATTGACAAGAATTAGAATGAATTACTTAATAGATTCTAAATTTTTTGTTTTGTTTGTTTTAGACTCTGACATTGTTTCATATAGGCAGTTTTTTATTCAGTAGTTTACATTTTGAAAGCAATAAGAGTATAAGTTTTGAACTACTGCTGAAGTCATTAAATAAAGTAACAAAAAAGTATGAGCTCGCCTTATTAAATCACTAATTTGGGAAGTAGAATTAGACTTTTTTTCCCTACAAACAATGGTTTGGTTTTCAACAAGATGCCAGGATAAAAGGAAGGCAATCTTCCTGAATGTTCCTGTGATAACAAAGGTGGCAAAGTTGAAGCTGCCAGCAGCACCTACCACCTACTTTGCTCCCATTATGGGAAGTGAGTTTTTCTGTTTAGTGGAGAACTTTGTGATTCTTAATTAGAAAAGGATGGTTTTCCTTAACTTTCTCTTATTCATGTCTGTGTATTATTAAGGTAGAAGTAGGTCAGATATACAGCATTAATTTTTTAACTTGGGATTAAAAAACTTTTTAGCTTCATAGAGTCTTCAAGGAGTCCATAAACTTTCTGAAATTGTATGCAGTAATTTTGTGTTTATCTGTTACCCTCTCTTTCCCCAACATTTAGAACACTTCATGCTTCATGACCTCAGAAAGTTTGAAGAGTTTTGCTTTTACTTTGATGTCCTCAGCATTCACAGTATGGTTATACCTTTAAAGCAGAATAATTTGACCTTCAGTGACAAGTTTCTCTCATTGTAGGTAGAAGTTGTTGGAAGATGAAATAACTTATCTCAGATATTAATACTCCCTTTTATGCTCACAACAAATCTTTTCAGGGTAGAAATTACACCTAATTTTCTGATGAATAAATAGAATCAGATAATTTGTCCCAGGTCTTATGGTTAATGAACGTAACAGAATTTAACTTCTAAATTCATAGCTTAGACTCCTGACTCCTGTTCCCTAGTTTCCTCCCAACATTTTCCCCCTAGAGAATTCTGTTTAGTATTTGTTGCCTAGGGCTAATGTAAAGCTACAATTAGTAATTTTAAAATAAGATAGTTACTCCCACCATACCGCTTTCAAAAAGACAGAAAAGGTTTACTTCTGATTTATAATTTTAATAGGTAAGTCAAGTAATTTCTAAACTAGCATAAATGTTAGCATTTAATTTTAGGGTTATTGTTGATTTCCTAAGATGGCTCCCCCCAAATATATAAAAGGAGAAAATTGAAGATATAGACTGTTAATAATCACTAGGTTGAGATAAAGGCTGATTTTGATAGATAATATTACCATTAAGGAAGGAAATGTATAAATTCTTATGAGCAGCAGAAATCTTAAACTTAACTCTTATGGATCATATTGTGTTAAATTAGTCGTGAACTTATTAGTCATTTAGCCTTTGATGTCTCATTAAGGCTCAGCATTTGCATGTTTAGTAACCCATTTTCATAGTCTATACATTATGCATTGATTTAAATCTGTACAATTTGGCTGTTCGTTGCATACTTTTAGGACCAACCAACTTTTCCTATATAGAATAAATCTAACATGATAATGTAGGCATCCAAATCCAACATTATCTTTTTCTTAAGTCTGTGAGTAATAATAGTATGTATTTATCAGCATAGTTCTTCACTGTGTACTGTTAGGACAGCGTTTTTGTACTCATTGAATTTTTATTTGTACAGAAACTAACAATAAATAATTGTTTCTTCCCTTAAATTTTTGAAAGCCAATTAAGCAATTGTGCTTAGCAATAGGTAACTTCACTTCTAAAAGTAGTTAACTTTGTAAAAAGATAATCCATGTTTTAGAGAGGTAAAGATGAGAATTTCACCATATCCTGGGTGCTAAACATTATTTAATTTTTTCATTAACTAGTTACGTAATAGCTGTAATCAGTTACTGTTTAGTTATATCTGGAAGGTTTTTGTTTTCTTTTTTTTTTGAGTTGGAATCTCACTCTGTCACCCAGACTGGAGTGCAGTGGCCGCTCCTGGCCACTGCAGCCTCAACCTGCTGGGCTCCAACGATCCTTCCGCCTCAGCCTTCCAAGTAGCCAGAATTACAGGCATGCGCTACCACGCCTGGCTGATTTTTTTTAAATTTATTGTAGAGTTGAGGTCTCGCTGCCTAGGCGGGTCTCGAACCCATGGGCTCATGCAATCCACTCACCTCAGCCTCCCAAAGGTGCGGGATTATAGGCTGAGCCACCGAGCCCGGCTAGGTTTTTGTTTTCTAACGAACTTGGATTTATTCAGTAGACACAAATGCATATCCTCTTGTTATACAGTTATTTTTATCAGCGTCCAGGCAAGAAAATTATTTCCTAACAAATTTTTCAATGCATGCTATTAGGGATAGAGGTATTGGTGATAGAGTCTTCAAAGGCAACAGTTATTGACAAAATAGTTGACAGTAACTGGGGGATCTATTTTCTGGACTTTCTTCACTCCTGCTATATACCCACTTATGTATTGCTGACTGCCATTTAGGACAGAGGTCCTCAAACTTTTAAAACAGGGGACCAGTTCACTGTCCCTCAGACCGTTGGAGGGGCGGACTATAGTTTAAAAAAAAAAACTGAACAAATTCCTTTTTTTTTTTTAAACTCCTGAATTTTAGGAGCTCTAGGGCCATCAGTCAACTCCCAATCTTTAGGTAAGATTAGGCAGTATGTTAGGACTAAGGCAGCTTCTTGATTCTTCTTCCTTGAACCAGAAACATCTGAAGGAAAATCCTAAACTCCATGTTTTCTATGTGAATTGATCTTACTCATTCTTAAATGTACATTTTTAGGAAAGCCTTTTTCTGAATTGATTTGAGCCTGGTGGTAAGGAGCCTAAGGATAACAATTCACTCACTCACTGGATATTTAGTATTGTCTAGAGGAGAACAAACAAACAAACTTGACCTTTTGGCCTAACATTTTAAAATAAAACTTGATATCAATTCTTGAATTGGTCATATATTTTATATTGCTCAAGGTGATGAAATACCACCAGAAAAAATAAAGTGTTCATCTGCCTAAATCATTTCCTTTTACAAAATCCAATGGTGGGACTATAATTTTATTTTGGGGTATTCTCTTCATTTGGATTATCTTTTTATATATACATATTTGAAGACATAGTTATTTAAAAAGTAAATTGAAAGAAAGAAACAGAAAGGAAATTTATCTCCCCAAGGCAGGGGAGGGGACCAAAGCTTAAGTAAAAGCATGGTGGCCATAACTCAGTGAACACCTGGCCTGGCCAGAGCTTAACAAAAGCAATGACTCATTCAGATTATCTTAATAAAATTGTTAATGAACTGTTATCTTAAGAAATTACCTAATGCTAACAATTCATGAAATATTTCATTTCCAAATGAAGAGAAATGATTTTTGTAATTGTAAATATAAATTGCAAATTAGTTAAGTGGTACATTCATTCAATTTGCTATAATAATTAAAATATATTTTAAAAATATATTTTATTATCTCTTGAGAGAAACAACAAGATCAAATAAAGCTGATGCAATTTTAATGAGATTCAAAAGAAATGTTGCTTTTATTCTTAATATTATTGGTTATATTTTCTATAGCTCTATTACAGCAATGCTTTTTAAACAAAATTAATTGAAGAATCTTAGATTTCAGTGCATTGAATCGGATGTGGTAACCTTTTTCCAATGTTAGGAATACCAGAGATAATAGATAATAGGTCTCTTTTTTTAGTTGGAGTCTCACTCTGTTGTCTCGGCTGGAGTATAGTGGCATGCTCGTGGCCGTCACAGCCTTGACCTGCTGGGCTCAGGCAATCCTTCCACCTCAAAGCCTTCCAAGTAGCTGGAACTATAGGTGTGCGCCACCACGCCTGGCTAAGTTTTTTATTTATTGTAGAGACGAGGTCTTGCCAAGTTACCCAGGCTGGTCTCGAACTCCTGGGTTCAGACAATCCTCTCGCCTCAGCATCTCAGCTGATAATAGGTCTTACCATATTCCTTTCAAATAAATAGGGTTACAGGAAGTGAACAAAATACTACTTTAAGGGAAAACAAAAGACATTTGTTAACATATGGGTAATTGGGGGAAAAGATCTGTTTGGCTTATTGATGTCAGAGTTGTAGCCTTTGTTTTGGTTAAATGGAAACATCTCTGTGATGCATATTTCTCTTAATCTAATGCTATGTTTCAAAACCTTAGTTATATATAGAATCCTCATAAAGGAAAAAATAAATCTCAGTGGTCCTCCAGAGTTTATTTAAACTATATTTGAATCACTGCATTTTTGAAAAACATGTGTCCATATAGACTTTTTGTTTATATATTCAGAATGCCAAGAGATCTAAAAAAAATATAAACCCACATTAAGCAAAAGGCAATACCATGTTCCTTAATTGCTCATGGTGTACATTTTACTAACTACTACCAGGTTGTTTCTTTGAGTTCAATTCACTTTCACCAGCTTTACCACCCTGTGCCTTGTGCTAATTCTAGTATCCTACCCCTTTTTCTCTACTTATACTAATACTCTGAGTCATTTGGCTTTTATACAGATATGTATTAAAAAGCAATACTGCCTTTTGCTAAATGAGTCATAAACAAAAATATAAACTGGATACTATAATTGTGTAGCTGTTCTTCGCTGTAGGTGGGCAAGCATTGGGACTCTGGAATCAGATTGCTGGTGTTTGAATTTTGTCTTCACTACTCAGCTGTGTCACATTGTGATAGAACTCTGACTGTATATTTTATTTACCACCTCATAGGGTTATTTTGTGAGAATGAAATGAGGAAAATACATATAAAACTCTTAGAAATGAAGCAAGGCACAGTGGCTCATGCCTGAAATCCCAGTAGTTTGGGAAGCCAAGGCGAGAGAATTGCCTGAGCCCAGGAGTTCAAGACCAGCCTGGGCAACTTGGCAAAACCTTGTCTCTACAGTAAATAAAAAAATTAGCTGGGCATGGTGGTGCATGCCTATAATTCCAGCTACTTGGAAGACTGAGGTAGAAGGATCGCCTGAGCCTGGCAGGTCGAGGCTGTGGTGACCGTGAGCATGTCACTGCACTCCAGCCTGGGCAACCAAGTGAGACCCCAACTAAAAAAAAACCTCTTAGACCAGACCTGGCAAATAGGTACTCAAATGTTCATTAGAAGCTATATGTATGCATCACATTATAATTGCTAAATATGGTTGAATCACAATGTACATTTGTTTTAGGTTATCATTAAAATAAAAAAATTAAAAGTCATAGAGAACTTATAAAAGCCTGAAATTATAGGCCATGGAGACTGTATATGACTATAGAGAATATATAGACCAGGGGTCAACAGACTATAGCTAGCCACTCCTGATTTTAGAAACAAAATCTTACAAGAACACAGCCATACCCATTTATGTATTGCTTGTGGCTATTTTTGCATTATAATAACAACTTGAGTAGTTGAGAGAGAACTGTAATGACCTGCAAAGCCTAAAATATTTACTATCAGGCCTTGTGCAGAAAAGTGTGGCTACTCTTTGCTATAGATTCTAGAAACTATGTAGCCTTCTTTATAGGACTTGTATGAATATTTTGATACCTAGGTGTCTCTAGAACTCAGTTTGAGAAATGATAGCCCATGGACTTCATAAGAAAGGTGCATATCTGAATTATATGTAATGTTTTAAAAAATCAGATGCCTAGGCTCTGTTTTATGCCAACTAATTCAAAATCTTTGGGAATAGGGTCTGGAAAGAACCAGTATAATTTATAAAAGTTCCCGAAGAAAGAATGCTGATGCATTTCCTTCTTGACTATGGGAGGATTTTCTCACTGGTAATATAGTTTAATGCTCTTTAAAAAAAAAAATCTAAAAGACTGCCTCAGAATGAAGGGAACTTTTAGACTAGTGAGCCTCAAGTTTGAATGTGATCATAGTTTCTGCTTCACAGGGTTATGAGATTAGTGTGACCTAAATATATACCTAGTGTTTGGTTAAACTTTCTTTTTACATATGTTACAAATTTCGAAAATATCTATCTGTCTTTCTGTCTGCCTCTTGTATTATGGCAGTGATTGGGTAGAGCATGTGGTAAGTAAAGAGTTCATATTTCCTTCCTTACTTAGAAATTAGTGGGTGAAAAGGGGATGGGAAAATTCTCTCTATATCTACTCTAGAAAAACTGACTCGAGAAAAAGGGCAGGAGTAGACTAGGAAATAGTAACCTAAGCAGAAATAACTTTTCCAGAGTTATATAGTAAAAATTGAGAAATACTGGGATCTTTCATCACTGATATTAGGCTCATTCTATCTTGAAGTAAATCCTATGTTTAATTAAAGAACTTACATAAGATAAAGAGGCTTAGAAATGAATCAAAATACTTGAAACTATACTATCTTTGACAACAATATTAGCTTTAAACATATGTTATCACTATTAATTTTAGTCACATTTAGAGTAAATTGCTGTAGAAAACTAGGTTAATATGGTTAAGAGTGACTATTTCTTTTCTTTCTTTAAAAAACTATAGGCATTTCAGTAGAACCATGGAGGAACTAGTTCACGATCTTGTCTCAGCATTGGAAGAAAGCTCAGAGCAAGCTCGAGGTGGATTTGCTGAAACTGGAGACCATTCTCGAAGTTTGTCTTGCCCTCTGAAACGCCAGGCAAGGAAAAGGAGAGGGAGAAAACGGAGGTCATATAATGTGCATCACCCTTGGGAGAGTGGTCACTGCTTAAGTGAAGGCTCTGATTCTAGTTTAGAAGAACCAAGCAAGGACTACAGAGAGAATCACAATAATAATAAAAAAGAAAATAGTGACTCTGATGACCAGATGTTAGTAGCGAAGCGCAGAGCATCATCGAACTTAAATAATAATGTTCGAGGGAAAAGACCTCTCTGGCATGAGTCTGATTTTGCTGTGGACAACCTCGGGAACAGAACTCTGCGCCGGAGGAGAAAGGTAAAACGCATGGCAGTAGATCTCCCACAGGACATCGCTAACAAACGGACAATGACACAGCCACCAGAAGGTTGTAGAGATCAGGACATGGACAGTGATAGAGTTTACCAGTATCAAGAATTTACCAAGAGCAAAGTCAAAAAAAGGAAGCTGAAAATAATTAGACAAGGACCAAAAATACAAGATGAAGGAGTAGTTTTAGAAAATGAGGAAATAGGCCAGACCAATAAGGAGAAAATGGAATATGAAGAGCAAAAAGTCTCAGATGAGCTCATGAGTGAAAGGTGACTTTTATATTCTCTAAATATAAAAATATTTGTCTCCAGTGTTTTTGGTTGAATGTGTTTTATATTTTAATTAATTCTATTTTAAAATAATTATAAATTGTAATAATGATAGTGATGTTACTGTTTAACTATAGTTATATTTTCTTATAATTTATGTTGCTTAGCACAAAGTAAAATTGCTTATTTGATTTATAGAGTCTTTGATTGTATTAGAAAGACTTAATTTTCAGCTACAAAGAGAAAAGGAAATGGATTTTCAGTAGGAACAAATGTACTTTTGAATAACAGCACATTTGTAACTCTTAGAATTGGATATATTATTATTTATTTGTTTAATTATAGAGCTTTAACCTTTGGTGCTTTTTTAGAGTGTCACAATTTATTAGTCTATTCTGATTCTTGGGAACCAAAAGTTTATAACATTTTTACATGTATGTGTCTTGATATTTTAAAAAGTCTGTAGCTTGCTAAGAATTCTGATTACTTATGAATTGTAAAACTCAATTTATAGTCTAGAAACACCTGATTTTATCATTAGAAAATTGGGAAAAGTAAAGACCCTTAGACAGTTATTCTAATATGTCCATTCTAAAAAGCAGGTATACCACATTGATAAATGTTAAGTACTATTTTTACAGTATCAAAAGGTAAGTGATCATTTTTCTTTCATACCAAAAGATGAAGTGATGCTACTTAGAGGAGACGAGAAGATACTGACACTGTTCATTCTTCCTTTTTGGTATGGGTCCTTAAAACCAAATGTCATACTATGTACCAGAAAAACACACTCCTTGAATACTTATATGGTCTAGGAAAGAGTATTTGATTTTTAATATGTGGTGTTGGGATCATTTTAGTAATACAGATTGTGGTGAGCTATGGTTCTATCTTTTTTTCTTTTTCTTTTTTTTTTTTAATGTGACTATGATTGCAAACATGAGCGGGACCTGGTAAGAGTTTATGGAATGGTCTTTTTAATTAGACATGGTTTACTGTTTCTGTGATTTTTCTAAAGAAGTAAAAATTACTTAAAGTTAAAAAAATGGTTCAGGAAGGCTTTGAAAAGTTCATGGAATTAGTTTTTCTTCCAAGAAAATTGTCTATCTTGCTCAATTGCTGGGAAGGAGAATGTGTGGCAGCATAGATAACATATTCAATTCTAGACATTCACAGTTAGATTACCTGCTTTTTGGATTGTTTGTGCTAGCCCCTCCTTTTTTTTTTGATGTCTTGTCTTTTATTGATCTGCTTCTTCTTGGGTTATCTATCTGGTAATGGAGATGAAACTGCCATTATCCATTTCTTTAATTGTAAAAGATATTTGATTATTTGGTATTATGAGGCTTCCTAGCAGTCAACAAACAGCTCAGGTACACATTTTCAGATAGGATATTTCACTTTTGAATACATTTAAAATATATTTTCTCTAATTTTAAACTTATCTGTATAACTGTTTTTTGTTGTGACTTAAGAGTTAGAAGCAAATTCCTTCTGTGAGAAGATTGCTAAAGATTTAAGGTATTTTTCTAACAAGTGTTTTTCGAGACTACTTCCAAAGCTTTCCTAGTACAAAAAGCTATATATTTGATTTATAAATAGGATAAACTTCACTCTGTGTTGTGTTTGTGTGTGTGTATTTCTCAGATTTAATAACAATGTTTGATTAACTACTATATACTCTTCACTGGTGGTACCTATACTAATAATTATAGCCTCTGTTCTCAACAGCCTAATAGTCCCGAATAGCCAGACAAGCAAGTGATGAAAATGAAATGTACTGAGTGGAAGGTCTTAGTGAGGGAGACTTCCCAAAGGAGCTATGCTTTACAGCAAGAACTAAGACTTGTTTAGAAATTGGGAGCGTGAAGAGGAAAGAGGTAAATGGCATTTATAGATCAAGGGACGAGCTTGTGCAAATACATACATTTTGAAATGAGTGTGGTGTATTTGGGAAGTATACGTCATTCATTTTTACTAGAATATAAAATGGAAGCCAAGGCTACAGCAGTAAGCATTTCTTGAAGGCCTGTGTGCTATGGTAAATAGTTTGGATGTTATCATTTTATAGTCAGTGGGAAGTAAGTGAAGAATTTTTAGCAGTGAAGAGACTCAATTAGATTTACATTTTATCAAGATAGTGGGATCTTGATAGCATTATTTTGTTTGCCTTTAACTGACCATTAGTCCATCCTTGAGTGGGAGGTGAATTATGACTTTGATAGTAAAAGAAAAGAAATATTTGAGGCCAGTTTTAAGAATTGGAATCAGTGAGAGGTTGATATTTTTAAAAGTCTGTAGCCTACTAGGAATTCTGATCGCTTATGAATTATAAAACAATTTATAGTCTAGAAACACCTGTGTTTGAGAAGATTAATGAGAAAAGGAGTCTGCATTAAATATAGGAAATAATTGGGGCAAGGAATTGGTATTAGCATGCATACATTTGTCAACTAGCATTTAAGGAATATATTCTTATCTGAATATTGTGCTGTAAAAGTCATATAAAAAAATGGGAAGAGATGTCCTTGAAGATAAGCCATAGTCACCATCAGCTACTGAAAATGAAAACCCTTGCTTCTGTTTCAGTTCTTGTTTTGATTTATTGAACACAGTAACCAAGTACATGATGTACATGGAGCAACTAGTTAGATACAGTAAGGTGAACTATACATAAAGAAATATGACTGAGCGTAGTACTCACACTTGTAATCTCAGCACTTTGGAAGGCTTCGGCAGTAGGATTGCTTGCACCCAGGAGTTCGAGACTGGTGTGGGCAACATAGTTAGACCTTGTCTCTATAAAAAATAAAAAAAAATTAGGCATGGTGGTACATGCCTGTAGTCCTAGCTACTTGGGAGGCTAAGGCAGAAGGATTACCTGAGCCTAGAAGGTCAAGACTACAGTGAACCATGATTCTTCCACTGGACTCCAACCTGGGCAATAGAATAAGACTCTGACTCAAAAAAAAAAAAAAAAGATAAAGACAAGAACATGTTGTATACATACATGTACAAATACTTCAAAGTAGAACAAAGATCATTAAGGACTAAGAGCTGGAAGAGAGGGAATTCTGATTTCCTTATATCTTTTAGAGATTGGGCAGGTAGAGCGAGAAGACAGTGGAGAGAGATAGGCATACCACTTGGATAAAGAACATAAAAGGACTAGAGATAGAGATGGAAAGAATTTAGATTGAGGCCCACCCATAGAAAACCTTGAAATCTAAATTTAATTCAACAAATATGAGGAAGTAATTTTAGATTTTTAAATAGAAGACTATTTGCAATATATATGTGTGTATATACTGTATGTATGTGTATACTTTATCAATTCTTTTATTTTGAAATAGTTTTAAAATTTACAGAAAAATTGCAAAGACAGTTCAGAGATGTCCCATATATCACTTACCCATATACCCTGAACCCAAGTTCCTCTATTAATATCATACATTACTATGCTACATCTGTCACAATTAATGAAACAAGATACATGTTTAAGTGAAGTCCATACTTTATTAGAATTCCCTTTGCATTTATTTATTTATTTAATATCCTTTTTCTATTTCAGAATATCACATTACTTTTAGTCAAGCCAGTTATATTTTTTAAAAGAAGAACCTGGCTGTATGTAGAATAGAGAGGGGTAAATTTGAACTCAGATTAGAAGATCATGGTCCAGAAAAAAATAGTACATCAATTCACAATCCTTTATCTGCAAGTCTGAACTCTGAAAGTTATGAAAAACTAATTCATTTGTGATCAATCTTAATCTGACCTGTACTTAATGTGAATATTCATTCATTTAATTGAAAAAAATATATTAATATGTTTTTATGGAGTGCCATCCTAGACTCCTATGAAGTATTTTAGAAGGTACATTTTAAAAATATGAATAATTCTTAATTTCACATATATTTTGACTCAAGGGATTCAGAAAAGGAATCTTGAACTGAGTTATGTATAAGGCCCTTCATTTGTGTTGTGTTGATGGGGGCATACAGGAAAGAGAAAAATATCAATAGCAGTTTAGACAACGAAGTAGCAGAAAAATAAAGTTTCTGAAGTGTATTTAATACTCATAACACTGTGCTTAGAAGATTATGTCTGTTTGTAAATTAAAAAAAAGATGTCATGCTCTTAGCAAATTTTTTTCATTATCAATTATATAATATAGGGAGCTTCATACATTGACTTAATATGAAGAAAAAGATCTAAATTCAGAGCTCCTTGGAAGAATGTGCTTCTTAGCAAATTGCTATATTCATTAAAATTTCATTTTTTAAAAAAATAAAACAAAAGCAAAATATTTTATATTGAGAAAATGTATGTAGATTTAGATCTCCTCTATAATTTTAATCTTAAACGTTTCAATTTAAATATTTTAAACATATTAAGATGGCTTTTTGAAAAATAAGCCAAGTTACTGAATTCTACATGTTAGTGGGAAAAGTATTTTAATTTAAAAAACAATCAAAAAGCACCTCAGATGATTTCCTTATTGGTTAGAAATTAATTAAGAATTACAGTAAAAAGAAAACCCATGAGAATTTTTAAAGAGCATTACGATTTTCTTAAATTACTCAATTTTTCTTAGAAGCCACGTCTCTCATTTTGTGACCTTGTTCTTTTGGTATTTTAAACTAGACTGTCATATAAGCATTACTTCTATTAGAACTAATATGAGAGTTTGTTCATGTTAGTCAAATATCTGCTAGTTGTTTTAATTTGTATGTTACATTTGACTCTATCATATTCTGGAGCGTCTGTGAAAGTAAAGAGAACGTGTGTTATTTTTGCACATTTCCTCCTTAATATTGGTAATACTCATTTTTTTGCTCAGAGTGACCTTACCTTTGATTTAATTATCACCATTGTAAACTTTTTCTTCCTTGTGAAGTAATAGAGTTGTTGTGAATTCTTAAGTAATATCTTTTCTAGAATATTTGCAAATGTGGTTATGAAAAGTAATTTCATCCCAGTCCCCTGTATTTCATGTGCTGAAGAAAGACTTAGCCTGCTTTTGATTGAGACTTTTCCCATTTTATTGAGCAGTGCTGTCCCAGGCTCAAGCTGAATTGCATGGCATAAGAAAGGAGCAGTGAGCATTTGATGAAAGCAGATAATAAAATGCATCAATTGTGTCAGCACCTCGTTGCAGTCACATCTGGCTTACCGTCAGGGTCCCATTAGATTCCTGTGGTTTTATGTGCCAAAAATAATATGCTCTGTAGTTAATGGAACTGGGATATTTGCAGTTTGATTTTAAAAAAAACCATCTTCTTTTCTTTCAGATCTTTGTCAGGCTTAAGTTCCATTTCTGAGCTGCCATGTCTCTTTAAAATTTTACGACTGAGAGATCAATTGTTCTTTTGATCTGTTTCTTTCTTTTTCCTTATTGCAGTGATTCCAGCAGTCTCAGCAGCACTGATGCTGGTTTGTTTACCAATGATGAGGGAAGACAAGGTACTGAAAGGCTATTTTTTTTCTCTCTGGAAAAATATCTTCATTCTGCAGTTGTGCTTATTACTGTGCTTATCATTTCATAAGTTGATGACTGCATTCCATACTTTCACACACTACTTAGTGGACAAGAGTTTAATATTGTAGCTGGAGTTTTACATGCTATGGAAGGTGTCCTGTCTTCATGATCTAAAGCAGTTGATTGTGTCCAAAAGCTAGTATGTAAACTTTCAAGCTGAGAAAACTTTGCATATCTTTTTGATTTTTGTCTCTTAGCAAATTTAAAAGACAATGGTTCTCTTTCTTGACCTGATTCCATATGTATTTAAAATTATTCAAGCCTTCATAAAGATGGATTTGCAAGTCATTTGTCATTTTTATTCAGCTGTGGCATTTATTCATCTTATCCAGTTTGTAAGTAATTAGATGATTTTCATGAATTCAGTAAACTGTTATTTTCCATCTTTCAAACTTCCTGAAGCTTTTCTCTAACATGGCAGTGTTTTGAAGCTATGAAAAATATAAAAACCTTAATAAGGGGGCACGATTAATCCTTAATGAGATTAATTTCATTTACTCACATCTGCTCATGATTGTTTTCCTTTTTACACTCCATACACATCGTAACATTAATCTAATACATACAAATACCACAAATGTTGAAATGTTGTCTTTCTTTTTAAAAACTACATTAAAGAAAGTAAGTTCTAAGGGAAAAAAAATGTTTATTGTTTTAAATTATAAATTTACTTGATGTTGGGGGGAGAAAACAAAAGTAATAGTTATATACACTTTTTTCGTAGTCTATCTGTCCTCAGCAAAATGAATAAAGTAAATAAAATGATCATTCTTTTTTGCTTATCTATAAACCATTTGTCCCAGATAAATAGGTGCATAGCTGTTTGAAAGACTGTAACTTGATTTCAAGTTGAGTTTTTGCTGAAATATGTTAGAACACTGGGGCTAAAACTAAGCTTAACTACCTTGACAATATACCTAAATTCTTGTTAAAATATAGATCTTTACTCAAGGTTATCTGCTAATATTGGTAAGGAAAAGAAAAAAAATTTTTGTAAAAAACAACTTTGGCAAGTATATCAATCTTTGAGAAGCATTGAGTGGCATAGAATAAAATACTAGCATATATTGTGCACTTACTATATTGTACATTGATCAGGGCTTTTTTTTAACCTTTAATTTACTTTATGTTCTTAATTAATTCTTTAGAAACTTTGAGATTCCCAATTTTTATTATTTTTTTTACTTTTTATTTATTTTAAAGATGTGGGGTACAATTCAGGATTAGGTATACAGTGGTCATTGCACAGGTAAAGTTAGGACCTCTCTTTGGTCCCCACTTCGCCTGGTTTGAGATCACGTGTACTTCTTTTATTTATTTATTTATTTTTAAGTTGGAGTCTCACTCTGTCGCCCAGACTGGAGTGCAGTGGCCGCTCCCGGCCACCGCAGCCTCGACGTGCTGTGCTCCGGCGATCCTTCCGCCTCAGCCTTCCCAGTAGCCGGAATTACAGGCATGCGCTACCACGCCCGGCTGATTTTTTTGATTTATTGTAGAGATGAGGTCTCGCTGCCCAGGCGGGTCTCGAACCTGCGGGCTCAGGCAATCCACTCACCTCAGCCTCCCAAAGGCGCGGGATTACAGGCTGAGCCACCGAGCCCAGTTTGGGATCACGTATGCTTATTGATGTTATGTGCCACCTCCCACTCCCCTGGCAGTGTCCTGCTACTGTCAAACCCCTTCTTATAGTATTATGGAAAATGTTCAGGATCTGCTTATGAGTGAGAACACATGGTACTCAATTCTTTGTTTCTGTGATAGGTCACTGAGTATTATAGACTCTAAATTCATCCAAGTTGCTGTGAAGTCCATATGTTTGTCCTTTATGTCTGAGTAATCGTGACCATTCTTACTGGGGTTAAGTGGAATCTCAACGTGGTTTTGATTTGCATTTCTCTGATGATTAGTGAGGCTGAGCACTTTTTCATGTGTCTGTTTGCTGCCTCTATGGCTTCTTTTGAGAAGTGTCTATTCATGTCTAATTACTCTAGTTGGACTTCCAATACAGAGTTGAAAAGGAAGGTGAGAGTGGGCAGTCTTATCTTGTTCAGTTTTCAGGGGAAATGCTTCTAGTTTCTGTTCGTTTAGCAATAGGCTTGCTGTGGGTTTATCACAGATGGCACTTACTATTTTGAGGTATGTTCTTTCTATGCCTAGGTGTCCATGGGTTTTTATCAAGAAGGGATACTGGATTTTATCAAAAGCTTTTTCTGCATCTAATGATATAATCGTGTGGTTCTTATTTTTACATCTCTTGTTATATTTAGTTACATTTATGGTCTTGCAGATGTTGAACCAGCCCTGCATCCCAAGGATGAGGCCTACTTGGTCGCAGTGGATGTCTTTTGAGATATATTGTTGGATCTGATTTGCTAGAATCTTGTTGAGAATTTTTGCATCTGTGTTCATCAGGGATATTGACCTGCAGTTCTCTTTCTTTTATTGGATCTTTACTTGGTTTGGGTATCGTTGTGACGTCAGCTTTGTAATATGATTTGGGAAGAGCCCTGCCTTTCTCAATTACCTGGAATACCTTCAATAGGATTGGTAGCAACTCCTCCTTGTAGGTTTTGTAGAATTCCACTGGATAGCCATCTGGTCCAGGGCTTTTTTTTGTAGGTAGTTTTCTTATGACAAGAGTTAATTTCCCAGGTTGTTACTGGTCTGTTTAGTATCTCAATGTCTTCTTGTTTCAACTTTGGGACGTTGTGTGATGTCAGAAAGTCCTCCATCCTCCATTTCATTTAGGTTATTGAGTTTGTCTCCATACAGGTGTGCATAGTAATCTCTTGATAATCTTTTGTACTTCTTTGGGGTCAGTTGTGATTTGATCTTTTGGGTTTCTGATTGTGTTCATGTGGGCTTTTTCTCTTTTTTTGTTGGTCATTCTGTCTAGAGTGTCCATCAATCTTGTTTATCCTTTCAAAGAACTAGCTTTTTGTTTTGTTGATATTTTTTCTATGGTATTTTTGTCTTCTATGTCCCATATTTGGGCTTTTACTTTGGTGATCTGGATTCTTCTGCTAAAGTTAGGGTTTTGGTGATCTTGCCTTTCTAGCCTCCCTTAGGTGATTTTTAGGCTGTTAACTTGTGATCTTTCCATTTTCTTGATGTGTGTTCATAGAGATAGAAATTCTCCTGTCAGAACTGCTTTGATGGCATCCCAGTGGTTTTGGTAAGATGTTTCTTGTTTTCATTTGTTTCCAGGAATCTTTTAATTTTGTTTTGATTTCTGTGTTGACCAAGTAGTTGTTCAGGATCATATTGTTTAATGTCCATGTCGTTGTGGGTTTGGGGGAATTTTGTTGGTGTTGGTATTTATTTTTATTCCACTGTGGGCTGAGAAGGTACATGGCAGTATTTTGATCTTATGAAATTTGTTTATGCTTGATTTATGGAAGAGGATGTGATCGTTCTTGGAGTACATTCCACATGGTGATAAGTAGAATGTATATTTTGTGGTGGTCGTGTTAGTGTTAGTATCTATTAAGCCCATTTGTTCTAGTGTCAAATTGAGGTTCTGGGTCTGTTTGTTGATTTTTTGCTTGATGATCTATCTAGGGTTGTTAGTGGGGTATTTAAGTCCCCAGCTATGATGTTGTTTTAGTCAATATCTTTTTTTTTTAGTTTACTTAGTAGTTGCTTTATAAGTGCTGGTGCTCCTGTGTTGGGTGCGTGTATGTTTAAGATGGATATTTCTTGTTGATGGATTGAACCTTTTATTATTATGTAGAGACCTTCCTTATCTTTCATACTTTTTGGTAGCTTAAAAGATTCTCAATTTTTTTAAATTAAGAAAATAACACTAATAGAGTTTGAAGTAACTTCCCCAATGTTACAAAACATTAGAATTTTGTCTAACATCAGAGCAAGTTTTTAATCAATGGCTATTTGATTTTGCTAGCTGTATATCACATAAAAAATAAAATAACTCCATTTTTCCATAAAAGTGTTGAAATTCAGATATACTCAGATTCAAGTGAGACCCTGTTTTTTCTTATGCTTAAACCTGATATGTGAAATTTTAATATAACTCTGAGAAGTACTGATATTTAAGTGCTATGAATTGTGGTTTTTTAAAAATTAATTTTCATTAATTCTTTGATTAAAACAAAGTGGTGACTCTAGTTTTCCAAATGTCTTTAATTTTTTACTCTTTCATAATTTTAAGTACAGCTATTTCCCATAAAATCATTTTCAACTGAAGTTTAAGGATTTTTTTTAAAAATTTAAGTTTTCCTTTAAAAATGTTTGTCGGAAGACATTTTGGAAATCAGAGCTCTGTTTCTCTAATGGGAAGAAGTTTATAGCAGTTATGATGATCCTTTTAGAACCAGAATTAATGCTGGCTCTAAGAATCATGGGGAGAAGACTTTAATGAATCTCATCATATTCAAAAAGCTACTTGTCTCTTTTTTATTTTTATTTTTATTTTATATATTTGTTTTGAGACAGGATCTCACTCTGTCACCTAGACTGAATGTGTGGTGGCACAATCCTGGCTCACTGCAGCCTCCACCTTCTAGACTCAAGTGACTCTCCCCTCTCAGCCTCCCGAATGGCTGGGACTACAGGTGTGTGCCACCATGCCTGGCTAATTTTTATATTCGTAGAGATAAGTTCTCTTTATGTTGCCCAGGCTGGTCTCAAATCCCTAGTCTTAAGCAATCCTCCCGCCTCGGCCTCTCCAAGTGCTGGGATTACAGGTGTAAATCTCTGCATTTGACCATTGTCTCTTATTTTTAAAAGCCATCTGTCTTCTGTATTTTTGTGTCTTTGTACTGCTCTCTAAAATTCCTTTCTTTAAAAAACAAAATATTGATTCTTACCAATGGCACATTTCAAACTGAATTTTAAATTGATCATCCATTATCCCATGGTTACACTCCTGGATGTTCCCAAAAGTCAAAATTACTGAATAGAATTGGGTTTTAAAAACACCTCACTTATTCAACATAGTTTCTTTATAAACTCTACTATTGTCATTTTTCATTTAAAAACAACTTTTTCAAAACTATTTCTTAATGAGCTTAATTATATTAATTTCATTTAGTCACATCTGTTCATGATTGTTTCCTCTTTTACATGCAATACAAATCATGAAATTAAGCTAATTATATACCCTTATCAGCTGCAAAAGAAGGGTTTCATTTCACATTTTTATATGTTTTAATTCCTGGTAAGAGACTGAGGCTTGATTTTTCTTAATGTTGAAAGGGTAGTAATTTAAGTGAATTTTTCTACAGTTTTTGCCAAAGGATTAACCAGTTTATTATTTTTTTCACATTTTTAATTGGTTCTAAAACATAATATTTTGTGTTTTTGTTGATGGCAGTGCTTGGCATAGTGTTAGAGAACATTTCTTAAGTGAAGCAATGGTAATAACAAGTTTTCTTTATACATTATATATGTAGTTGTCAAAGAAAATGCAGGGTCCCCAGTTAAATTTAAATTTGATGTAAATAGCAAGTATCTTTTTAATACAAATAGATTCCATGCAGTACTTGGACGTATTTACACTAAAAATTTAGTCCAAGTACTACATATTTTTATTAAAAGTCATCTGAAGTTCAGATTTAACTGCCAGCTTATGCTTTTATTATCTGACAACACTAATTGTGTATTTGGATGATAAAGTAGAATCTTTGGGGGGGGATTTCTTGTATTTGCACAGGTGATGATGAGCAGAGTGACTGGTTCTACGAAAAGGAATCAGGTGGAGCTTGTGGTATCGCTGGAGTCGTGCCTTGGTGGGAAAAGGAAGATCTTACTGAGCTAGACAAAAATTTACCAGATCCTGTCTTTGAAAGTATCCTAACTGGTTCTTTCCCCCTTATGTCGCATCCAGGCAGAAGAGGTCAGTAGCACTGCCTAACTGGTGGATACAGTGGGTCTAATGGTCAATCTAGGAATATTCATTCAAAGAGGATAGTATAAAGAAGAAATTAGAGAATGTAAATACAAGATGCTATAAAGAAACATGTTGATCACTTATTCAGCTACTACTTTTATCATGCTTTCTAATTATTAGAAAAACTTACTTGCTTCCTTGCTAGGCCCATTGTGAAAGTGTTAAAATGATAGAAAGGTGAATTGGGAGAAAAGAAATACCCTGGATATTACTGAAGTGCTTAAGCACTGGGTAATTAAGTGCTGACTGCATTAGAACTCTGCTAGGCATTGATTCAGTTGTTTTAAGTATGAATTTTGCATTTTCCTCAATAATATTCATGGTGTTCACCCCTACCACCAACTTACTTTTAATTCTCTATTGATAGGTTCTTCTTCCATGCTTCAGTCACCATAAAATCTTCTAAATTGAGTACTTTGATTTTCCAGGTTTTCAGGCTAGACTCAGTCGCCTTCATGGAATGCCTTCAAAGAATATTAAAAAATCTGGAGGGACTCCAACTTCAATGGTAGGCATGCCTTTTTTGTTGTTGTTAATTGTCATGTGCGGAAATGTTTCCATTTCTGTGGAATAAAAAGCCACATCCTCATTCTTTATTCAATTCTAATGTTATACTTAAAAATAATCCATTTTTTTGTAGGCTACAAACTGGACCAGTGAGATTCCCCTATAAACCAAATCTTCTAATGCTAATAAATTAGTTACGTTTTGAACATCTGGGGAATGACACTCGAGGGAACCTGACTCCTGTCCTCTTCCCCGGAGGAATATCATTGAAGTGAGAGCCTCTTTGATGAAAAGATGGGGCTGTTTTTGCTGGAGGACTGGTATTCTTCCCTTTAGTCAGAAGTTAACCTGACTGGGGAGGCTTTCTAGGGATTTAGGTCGGCCCAGGGTGGATAGATACTACTGTAAATTTTATATATTTTTCTCTTTTATGATTTTTTTTTAACATGGAATCCATTTATGTATTGCTTGCTTTGCCAAAATGCTAACAAAAGCTAGAAAATGAAAAACTTCCAGATCTTACTAGTATTCCTTAGTGTTTATATTGTGACTGATTAAGAGTTAATTTTTACATATTTGACGGTTGTAAATAAAAATCATGATGCATTGACATTTATGGTTCATTTTTAGAAAAGTCTTATATAACAAGCATTACTTAAAATATTTGCATTTTACTCAGGGTATTTTAACAAGGGCTAAGATGGGTAGTAGGTAAGGTTGATAATCTTTGCTACAGTTTGAATTTTGTTTAGTTTCCTTTCTACTTGGATAATCTGCTCTGTATTGCAAAGTCATTGTATCTCATAGTACAGTTTTCTTGTACTGCAAAAATCACCCTCATTCTAAACTAACCAGAATGATAACTAGTCTGCATAATAGAATCATTTGCCTTTTAAATTGCCTGCTTTGTCTGGTACCTGAAACACATCAAAATTATTATTTCGGTGTAGAGCTTAATGAAATCATGTGAAAGCTGGCATTTTAACAAATACTATGTGACTGTGAATCATATTGTCATGCTTAAAAGTGAGAACTGCTTGTACATCTTTAGAATGGCAGACCATATGTGTCACTGTGAGTGTCAGAAATACTTACATGAGCTCATTTGCACCAAGCAGGGGAAAAAATGTAACATTTCTATCAATGGTAAAATTTAGACACTATACTAAGTTCAGCCCATTTCGGTTCTTCAAAATGACTATATTGAAATGATTAATATTTTTATTAAGTTTCGATCATTGATGAAAATGTGATTTAATACATGTATTTTTACATTGTTGTATGGATTGTTAATTCAACATTTAATGGCTAACGTAAATATGACTGGAAAAAAAATTTGAAGTTGCCATTGCCTTTACCTAAAGTTATTATAATCTGCAAGATTTCAACAAATGCATTAAGCAGGAATGTGTGGCATCTCCTTATAGATTGCTTGTCAGAACTAGAGAGATAAAAAATGGTAAAATGCAACTTTGAGTGTCTTTACCTTTGCATATTTAAAATGATATTTAAAGGTACAATAATGTGGTGTTGGTAATTGTAAGTAATCTTTTTTGTGCTATGTCTTTGGAGTGAAGAAAATTCATGTTTTTTTCTGAATTACATAAATGCTTTTATTTTGTTTTGTATATTGACTGTCTTTTGGATCTGAATAAGTCACTTTAAAACCTTGGCCTATGAACTTTGCCTTACCAATCATGAATCTAGATGAATGCTATCTAGTTCTTGGTTCAGTTTTACCTATTTTTATTTTTGGTTCACTGCTTGCTTGAGCATAGCTGGGATTTGTAGCCCATTTTCTAGGCTTATTGCAATCTCACTGTGGTATTTTATAGAAGCTATTACAACTGATAGGTTAGCTTCATGATATTGATGATACATGGCTTAACCATATTAAAAGCTGCCTTCCCTCTCTAAATTGTAAAAAGGTGATTAAGTTTCACTTGATGGAGATATACTATATAAGTGTGTTTATCATGGAACTAGTGCATTAGGTCATAAACTGTTTTTCTGGTTCATGTTTTTTGTATTCAGAATTTTACTGAAGACAATGGACTCCTTCAGGTTTTCTTTCTTTCCACCCTGAATTGTCCTTGCTTGGATTTTTAAGTACTGTAATTTTTTTTTTTTTCAATAAAATCTCTGACTTGGGCAAGAAAGGTAAGAGTTCCAATTTGTGCTGATATTTTTTAAATTTCCTATGCCAAGTTTTGTTGTTACTCATACCATTCATATTATATATAACTGTCTACTTTTAAAAATCGTAATTTCACAGAACAGTCATCTTTAAACAGTACTCATTACATCTGGTAATAAGAAATTAAATTTAATTACCTTAGACTTTCACACTGGAAAGTCAGATTGCTTTTAAGAGAAATTAATTTTCTGAATAAAGTCAAACACATGTAGTTGCAACCCATTAAACAGAATAGCAACAAAGGATTTCTTAAGCAGATGAGTGATGACATAAATATGATGTAGTATCTTTGAAGGAAATGACATACGGAGAATCTTTTACTGAAATTTCAGTATAAACATCTTTTGGGGGGAAAAAGTATTCAGTTGAGTCTTATTATTCACCATGCTTCTATGAGGTCGCTGCAAACATTGAATTAGGGAATAATGAATCACTGCTCCTAAAGGAAAGACAGGGTTTTGTTCCTGCAAGCCTCTGGTCACAACATTTTCATCACCTGATTAATACGTAATCTTGTTTTATGTGTGTTTGTGCTTAAAAACATTTAACATATATTGTTGATTCTTTAACATTGAACTCATGACCAACAGCACTCTAACTCATGTCTGAACAAGTTTATCCAACGTGTTTTCTCTAGAAGGCACATCTCTGCCTTTTGCACTTAGGAGCACTAGACAGCACTCCTCAGCATTATAGTTGAGGGCCATTTAAAACAGTGAAAAATCACCAACAAAAAGCACAGAAATGCAAAAACAAAAAACAAAACAAAAAAACCCACAATAACATTAAATAGACTGCTAAAGGTCATTTGTTTACAGTGTGGGAGCTGAAACAAGAAGGCAGAGTCACCTTGTTGCCTCCGCTGGGAATGCACGTGTGTCAGGTGACTAAAATTTTTCAGCACTCTGCCCATGTCCCTAAAGGCAGACTTGCAAATATGGAATCTGCAGCAGGAATGGGGTTGACTCTATTTAGTTTTATAAAGAGCAATGTGGTGTTTACTTACAGACTTTGAAGTCAGACTATTTGTGAATCCACACACTGCTTTTTACTTGTAATCACATTTTGAGCCTCATTTTCTTCTTTTGTTAAATACAGACAATACCTCCTTTTGCAGAAATGTCAGGTTTAAAGGAGATTATGTATAAATAATAAGCTTAGCACCATCTCTGGCATATAGTATATAATAAATGATAGTAGCTGGTAACTTAGAGAACTTTTGTATCATGAGTCAAAGTGCAGAATTTTAGACATTAAACTTTTCTGTTCATATTTTATATATAATTTGCCTTTATATTCAATATTTAAAGTGCTTTATATTGCAGCCTTTTATGTTTCTTTTATACCTCATTTATATTTGAGCTGGACTCTGCTTTTTAATATGGTCTATGAAGAATAATTTCAAATAAATTTTGGATTGACTGTCACTGCACTAAACTTCAAAACTTAATTCTAAACTGAGAAACCACTCCAAACTCTCTTCCTGACCCTCCCAATCATTAAGCTATTCATTTGTAGAAAACTTGTACTATTTCTGATTTATTAAGTGTTTATGTATATGAGGGGTAAATACAGACAGTCTTGAGAATTTAAGGTTGAGGGGAATTACTGTAGCTATCCTTATGTTAGAGTAAAGCACAGTTTATTGGAGAATGGCTAACTAGCCTCTCTTATTCCCCACTTTTAGGAGAATTAAGCAAATTATAAGTAATTTCAAGGGATACGCTGGAGCCATTATTTAAGAGATACACCCTGGACCTCTTATATTTCCAGAATTTGTATATTAAGTACAATTCAGAATAATTCTCAGAACAGTTGCTAGAATCAGTTTAGGAAACAATACTTACAAAGTTAACTAAATAACCTTACTTAAGTATCACATTCCAGTTGGCCAGAATATCCTACTCACATCTTTAAAAATAAATAAATAAATAAATCCTGTCTGTAAGCCAGAGACTTAAAAATTTTTTGTGACTTGAACTAATGGTATTTCGGCAGGTGTTAACATTCGTCTCCTGAAAGTTAGCAGTCAAATTGCATAGTCATTTAAAAGATCAGGAAATAAATGACTCCACTTAAAAGACAGTTTGTGAAAACCAACATAGTATTATATGAGGAATTGTACATAAATGTTGTGGGGTTGATTAAAAGTTTTATAATTGCCTCAGTCCGGTTGTATGGTTAGAATGAGAATACATATGATGGTGGTATTGATAGTTATTCTGCCAAAGAAAATTAATATGATTTCATTGACTTCTTATTTATATGTTTATCAAGTTTAAATATCTGAAAAAAATATGAACAGTAGTCTTAAATCTCAATTGTCATACCATACAAGTAAGCATAATGTTTACATCCACAGTACAATAGCCCTGAACACATTAATTTATATCTGTTCAGAATCTTAAGTCAGTCATTCTACAGGAGAAAAGGCATATTATAGATATTTTCTTCTTCTTGTAAAGTCTTAGAATAATAAGATTTCGTGAGTGGTACTTTTATAATGATAATCATACTGTAATGATTTACTCTGTATTGTTCAACTTTTTTGTTTCTTAGGAAACGAGTAAGAATATTTAGTCTGATTTATAGCTTTTTTTTTATGACAGAAGGGACACTTAAAATGGAGTTGGTTTTAAAAAGGGAACTACATAAACCTTATTCTAGTCTGAGAAAAATGAGAAATTTTATGATAGAAAACAAATCTAAAATGATTTTTTAAAATATATACAACCTATGTCCTCAAATGTAATATGATCATATTGACAGGTTATCTATAATTTTTAAGTGGAATTAAATAGCTAAATGCTTTATTATAATTCCTGTGAGTTGATATTTGTTTATATCCTAAAGCATTTTTGGATACTTTGGAGACTATGAGAAGAAAATATATTTTAAATGTTGTATTGTGAATATATATATCATGTACATTCTAAACTGTTACTATATATGGTAGTTTTTATCTTATCTGAATGCTTGAGGTATGCATTTTACATTAGATATTGATGCATTAAGTACTTATTTTTATAACTTATTTTGAGCTAATTTGATTTTGTATCGCAGAAAAGTACAATTTAATAGAATTACAATAAATACTTCTTTTAAAAAAGACATTTAAAAATATCTCTTGTTTGATTTGAATTCTCTATTTTGATCTCATTCACAACTTTTTATTTCATATTATATAAATGTAATGTCCACAGGTGATCTTTGAAAATATGAATCAAACCATTTGTCATGCAGCTCCATTAAATATTATCAATATTAATTTTGCTATTCTTATTACATTATACTTTATTACAAGTGGAGAGGGATATACAAATTTAAACAGTAAAAATATAGTAGTGTATTCATATATTCAGTCAACAGTATTTGAGTGCTTATCTCCATATTTAGCCTTAAAAACTATTTTAAGAAAAGTAGTATAAACAGATGCTCAATCTTGTTATTTTAAAGTTACCAAAATTGACAACCTATATATTTTTCCATATATTTAAAATAATTGTTCTTCTTCTCTGATAGCTTAGTATGAGAATTAGCTTGGCTTCATATGTTGTCATTGGGCTTGTGGGGCTTCAGAAATCTGTAACCTTTCAAAGTGAATATTAGTAATGATAGTAAACACAATGACGCCTGTTTACTGTGTGCCAGACACTTTTCTACATGCTATTTATATTTTTAATTAATTTAATCTTATTAGCGTCTCTATAATATACATTAACATTTACAACTTTAAACATTAAGCAGGGTAATGTAATAGAGGATTTAGGACAAGGAGGGGATAGGAGAGAGTATGATTTGCAACCTGGAATTTTCAGCCTTGGCCATTTAATGCATTTCATCAAATTGCTCTTATAACAACAGGAGGAAAGAAGCAAGGGTATACATTAGTCACACCTAGTCATTCAAGGAGTTGAGATAGGTTTTATGCTATCTGTCCTGATTCCTGACCAGATTGACAAAGGCATTTAACTATCACTGTAAGTAGACCTGCAAATGGCAAACAAGAAATAGTCACTTTTGTTTACAAAGTACAGCAGTGTTACCAATGCTTTTGAATGTTGTTTTCTTTTATTTTTGTATCCTGATATACCTTTGAAATACATTCTAAAATATTCTTTATTTAGAAATTAAGACTGCTGATTGGTAATCATTTGACTTCATGAATGAGGACACTGTTTCCTAATTTCCTTTTAAAATGGTGGTGACATTGTTAGAGTCTCCCCCACCACCACCACCACCCCCACCCCAAATCAAAATCAGGGAAACAGAAATGCTGCAAACATTTTACTTTATAAGAAGCATCAACTCTGGTTTTCTGCCTTTTATGTTGCTGACAGAATTATTCTGATGGTCTGTGAAACTCTGTTTTCTAATTATCCTTTAGATATGTCAGATATCTAATGTCAGAAAAGTTCAAAATCAATGATGGGTAGAACACTTCCAAACAATATTTAACAAGTTTTTTCTACACAAAAGTCACCTGCAAATCCTCCAAGTGAAGGTCAGTTTGAACAACTGAAAATTCACAATGAAATCATATAGAAAGAAAGGGTTCCCTTTTATAATTTGTGAATTCCAACCAGATATTTGTTGCCTGTCATTCAGGAAAGGGAATTCTGATAAACCATTATTAATACATGTCAGTCAGGATGTATCTGTGTTTTAAGCTAATGAAACTTGCAAAATTTTTGTTGTTGTTAAATCACAATTATCTGAAACACTGACAGGTACTTAATGGGAAAAGTTTATGACTTTTTTGTTTGTATACCAAGGACTAACAACTTGTGCCATTAAGAGTATAGCATCGGCTGGGCTCAGTGGCTCAGCCTGTAATCCCAGCACTTTGGGAGGCCGAGGTGAGTGGATTGCCTGAGTCCGCGGGTCCGAGACCCACCCGGGCAACTTGTCGAGACCTTGTCTCTACAATAAATAAAAAATGAGCCAAGTGTGGTAGCGTGCGCCTA